GAGAGAAAAGAGAACTGAGGCTCACCAAAATTACATAACTTCCTTCTGAGTGGTGGCATCCCCATTCAAAGCCAGGTGAGTCCGACCTCACCACCTGTGCCCCAGCTTATTACAGTTATAAATGTTATAAAATGTTACAAAAGTATAAAAACACTTTTCTTCAATCAGTGTACCATGAGCCACATAAAACATTCGTTCATACATTGATTCACTAAATGCTTCCTGAGGGTCTTCTGGGTCAGGGCAATAGTGGGATATACCATTATGAATGTCACAGTCGCTCTGCCCTCCAGAAGTTTACGGAAGATCACAGCTTATTCACACAACGTTCATTCAACAAATACGTGTTTAATACCCTGCGTATCAGGTTCTTAGCCTGCGATGAACAAATTGTTCCTTGTGCTTATGAAACTTGTTATCTAAGAGTGAGACAGAAAAATAAACTGGCAAATATAATGGGTTGTTCTTTAGTGCTATGACTGGGGAGAAGCACAGGATAACCCGAGGACAGAGAGGTAGGGTCCTCAAATGAGCTTTGGGGGAGATCAGAAAAGGTTGCCAAACAGATGAATAATAATGAGAACGAATTCCTTTTCTATATTAATTCTAGCTAAAATGAAGCCATTATTTCTCAAAATAATTAAGCAACGACTCAGTTTAATTTCAAATCACGGGGGGGAGAAAAACTCTTTAAAGAAAAAACCAAATATTTTAGGAAATATACAAAGAATATCTATAAACATTTCAAGGCTGATTAGGTTGGAAAAGCAAATGCCAGCCAATTACGAAGTATTAACCAGATGGGAGCTTAGAGAGCAAGGAAAAGTCATTCTTACTTATTCAGGCTACAAGTACTTTTTAAGCATCTAAAATGTGTCCGGTATTGTGCTAACCCCTGGGAGTACAATGCTGAGTCAAAACACCCAGTGCTGCCCCCAAGGAGGTTCTAGTTTAGACTTTAGCAGTGGGGACAGGCACAAAAAAGTGCTAGTTTGTATCATTATACAAATAATGACAAGGTGTCAAATTCTTACCAGTGATTAAATCTGAAGGTATTCTATTAGTCAAGAAGTCGACCACAAGTATCCGACTTGTTGCAAATATCACACCTCCTTGGGTGTAGACCTCGTAGCGACTGTTACTTGTGATTTCATTTGTTACCCGACGAGGGAGGTGTTCCACTCCTTCAATCTTCAGCTGACTGATAAAATACTCCTACATCAAATCAAGTGTGATTAGCAGTCTGTTTAATACAGGGCAGTTTTTACTAGGCGGCAAGGTCTTTGTATTTAAAAAGAGAGACAGGGAACTTGAGGAATATACAAACCAAGTTACCGCTTTGGGTGATCAACCAATCATCCACATGCAACCAGGCTTTTATTTTTGTTGGGTTTTTGGGTTTGTGCTGAGGCATCACTGCACTTGACTTACGAGCATTTTAACAACAATAACAAAGACTTTAAAACCCCCAGTTAAAACACTTCGGCTAGCTAGAAAATACTTGCCATCAAAGCCAGGTTTGCAGGCAAGCACAGGGTGTGAGGAGATCGCAAGGAATCCTCTTCCCAAGCCGAGTTTTAGACTGGCGGCTCTGTCCCCATCCGCCCCAGCGGGGCTTCAGGTCGGTGGGAGCTTGGCCCTTTGTGTCTTCAGGGCAACCCTTCCTCTCCTGGGGGCCCTGGGTTGTGCCAGGTACTGGGGATCCCTAGACAAATCAGACAGTATCCCTGCCCTCACGGAGTCTGTGGGCATTCTTCTCAGCGGCCACCTGCCTCCTGGCCACCTGCTCTACCTAGGGGCGCAGCAGACCTGTCAGACCAGGCTGCGCCACCTCTCAATGGCAAACGCCCCGTTTTGGCACAGGTGTATCCGTCTTCTGTCCTCAGTGCCCTCCATTCCTTAACCGCCAGGTCCTCAGCTTCCAGCTCCCTTCCCTTCTGACCCTCCGCCCCCTCCCCCCAGCCTGGGTCAACCCCCTCAGACCCTCCTCTTCCCTACAGGGCTCTCCCCAGTTTCAGTCTCTCGTTTCACATCCTGCAATTACCCTCTGAGACTCCCCCATCCCCGTCACTGTTCCCTTTTCCAGATCCCGCTCTTCTGACCCAACAGGCCCCATGGTACCCGGCCTGGGGCCTCTCTCATCGTCATCAAGGCTGCCTCCTCCGCAGCCGTCTCTGGCCATCGCGTCCTCTTCCGGGACCTCCAATCTTTCTCTCTGCCCCTCGCCTCCGGTGGTGACTCCCCTCCCCCTCTCCGAGCCCCTCCGTCCCTCTGCGTCCTTGCACCCTCGGCAGGGACCTGCAGCTGTCTCAGAGACCCCCGTTCCAAGCTCTTCCACCAGTGTCAGAGACTTGCACCCTGCTCGGGACCCCTCGCACCCTCGGTGTCCCCGCGCCGGTGTCAGGGGCTTGCGTCGGCCTCGAGACTCCTCCCACTCCCGTGTCCTCCCACCCGCGTCAGGAACCCGCGTCCGCCTCAAGGACCCCTCTCATCCTTCTCAGTGTCCCCGCGCCCGTGTCAGGGACGTGCATCCTCCAAGGGACCCCTCCCACCCTACGTCCTCGCGCCGGTGTCAGGGCCCTGCATCTGCCTCACGGACCCCCATTCAACGCCCTCCCCCGGCGCTAGGGACCGCCGGCGCCCTCAGAGGCCTCGCGCCCGCGCCGGGCCTGCATCCGCTCGGGAAGCCCCCAACTCTCTCGGGGACCCCCTCACCCCCGCGCCGGCAGCCGCACCTCCTCGGCCGGCTGCGTGTTGAGCACCAGCACCAGGCACGCGGGGTGGCAGTGCAGCCGGAGGAAGTGGTAGAGGAGCCGATCCGCGCCGAGCCCGCGGGCGCACACTACCAGCCCGTCCGCGTCCAGTAGTTCCAGCACCAGCTGCCGCTCATACTCCAGCAGCGGCGCCATAGCGGTCGGCCGAGCCGGCTGTACCGGCTACATGGGCGCCCTTCCGGGGCCGCGGCCGAGCTCAGCCGAAGAGAGCCGAGAGGGAGCCGAGCTCTGCCGAAGAGAGCCGAGCGGGAGCCGAGCTCAGGGGAACAGAACCGAGCGGGAGCGGAGCTCAGGCGAACAGAACCGAGCGGGAGACGAGCTCAGCCGAACAGAGCCGAGCGGGAGACGAGCTCAACCGAACAGAGCCGAGCGGGGGCCGAGCGCAGCCGAACAGAGCCGAGCGGGAGCCGAGCTCAGCCGAACAGAGCCGAGCGGGAGACGAGCGTCGGTCGAAGGAAGCCGAAGGGAGCCGAGCCCGACAGGTCGAGAGCCAGCCGAACTCAGCCGAGGAGGAGCCGAAGCCGCGAGGAGAGCTGACCGAACTTAGCCGAAGAGGAGCCGAGTGGAGCCGAAGATTCGTAGAGTTCCCCAGCAACTTGGTGCTTGCGCGCTCCCGACAGGTGTCCGCTCCAGACCTCAGGCTCCAGCCCACGGCCTTTAGGGAATCCGTCTTGCCTTGTCCCTTCGGTCGGAGGGTGGGGCGGCCTGGATCTGCAACTAGAACCCGAGCTACCCCAAAGCAAGGAGGGGAGAATTAAACCCAAGGAGTTTAGTTCCCCAACCTCGGCAATGAAAAAGCTGTCAGTTGTCTAAGCGCGCCTAGAATTAATTAGTGGCCCTCTTTGCCACGGTGAGGTTTCAGTTTTACTTTTGCAGTTGGCCTCTGTCTCCCTGTAAACATTTTTTTTTTTTTGAATGAGCAGAATAGTTTACTACTTACAGGCCCTTGTTTGTCTCGAAATGTCTTGAATGCAATAATAATCTGTTTCTTAAAAAGTCGCTCCCGGGTGTCCCCCCAGCCGCCGCATCCTTTCTTCCACTAGAGGGACACCTTCGGAAGTTTTTGTTCCACACAAGGACCGCCTGATAATCCAACCAAAGGAATTGTTCTATGTGGACATTCCTTTCCCCCCAACTTAATTATTAGAAAATGAAAATCAACCGTTATTCCATTACCCAGAAATAGTCACTGTAATACCATGAAATGTGTATTTTCAGTTTTTTTTTTTTTTTCCCTTCTCACCGCACAATTCTTTTACCGATTTGAGATAGTAAGTGAGGCGGGTTTCCAAGTTTGTCACTGATATTTGACAAACCTCGAGCATACTATTTAGTATTCTACAAAATCCTTTTACATGGCTGATAATATTTCTGTAATGAGGATATACCACACTTATTTATCTAAGCCCTGATTAATGGACATTTAGTTTGTTTCCACCATCACCCCCTATTGTAAATAATATTTCACTGAACATTTTTGCACATAAATTCAACCATGCTCCTAAGATATACTTAGAATGGATAATTAGTGGGATACAGAGAACCAACATAAGGCTTTTCGTTACATTCATAGTGCAACATTGCCCTCTAGAAAGCCTGTCCCAATCTACATTCACATCAGCAGATGCAAGAGGATCTGTTTCTCTATCTCGTTACGGCTTAACCAGGATTTTACTTACATTTTGTCAAGATTAAAACAACGTGTAATAATTTCCTGAATGGGAAGGTTTGCCTGCAATTTTCGACAGGCAGAATTTCCTGTGAAACAAATATTAATCTCTCCAATTCTGAAAGTGACAGATGGAGCTTCAGGGAAGTTATACAACTTGGCCAAGACCACGGAGTGAGTTAGTGTATTGCTTAGATTTAGTTCAGGACGTGGCAAGCAGGAACGCACCACGTATTTAGGGTGTGCATGCGGAAGAGGCAGTGCTGAAGTTCAAACCTGATTCTCATGCTGTGGTGTGCAGAATAATGGCTCCCGAAAGATGTCCAAGTCCTAATCCCTGGGACCTGCAAATATGTTACCTTCTGTGGCAAACGGGACTCTGCAGATGTGATTTCAAAATGAGAAGATTATCTGGGATTATCCAGGTGGGGCCAGTGTAAATTACAAGCATCCAGGGAAGGGAAGGAGGGAGGCAGGAGGGTCAGAATCGGAGAAAAGGATGTGACAGTGAAAGCAGGTGTTGGAATGATGTGGAAGAGACCATGAGCCAAGGAATGCAAGCTTTAAAAGCCAGAAAAGGCAAGGAAATGAATTCTATCCTAAAACCTTCTTAAGCAGCATACAGCCTTGCTAACCTATACTATAGACTTCTGCCCTCCAGAACGAGGAGATAATGAATTTATGTTGTTTCCAGCCACGAACTTCATGGCAGCTACTTACAGCAACAATGGGAAACATACACAGTCACTCACTATTTCCATGACACTGAGCTCTTAAGATATCCCCAGCAGACCAAAACCAAACAGAACAAAACAGAGTAGAGAATAGTGAAGCAATAATTTTGGAGGGGCAGTGGTCAACATACACATAAAATTTGAATACTTGTATAGATACATATACACACGAAGATATATTCACTCAATAAACACTTGTTGGGCACCTGCTACATGTCAGGTAGCGAACCAACTGCTGGAGGTTCATCAGTAAACAAAGCAGGTGAAATTTTTGCCACCATAGAATTTATCATATTCGAGCGGGAGCTTGTGTACAAAAATGTTTATTCATCAGATCATTTTGTGAACTATCATTATTTCTCAGATATTGCTCCTAAATGTCCAAAGAAGGAGGCTAGTTAAAATCTCTTCATACATCTCTACTGAGAGGAATATCATATGGCTATTAAAAGGTGTATGTGGCAAGCTATCTCGTGCATGTTATTATATGCTGAAAAAAAGCAGTTACAAGACAATAATGTCTAGTACGGTCCCATTTGTCTAAAAACATTAGCAAAAAACCAATGTTTTCCTGTGACTGCTTAGAAAATCTCTGGAATTAAATCTCTTAGCAAAAGCGATTGTTCCTGGGGAGGCGAAACGAGTGGCTGGCATCGTACTAAGACCTTTACTTTTCCGTTGATTCCCTTCCATGATGTTGGTCTTGCTTACCATGAACATATATTGCTTGTATAATAAAAATGAAGCCAAAACCAATTCCCAGGTTCTATACATACTTCATCAGCGCTAAAGATGATCCTCTTGTGAATTCTACATTTAATATGTGGGTGGTGGGCAACACTTAATATCAAAAGTTGGCATCTGGGGAGGCAGACATAAATTCTCACAGATTCTGTCTAGACTAAAATTTTAGTTTTTCCAGTGGGCAAACGTTTTCAACATAAGGTGATGGGACTCTTCTTTTCCCGTGCCTCTGTCGCCACAGTTCTCCTAACCTTTTTCTTATCTCTTAGGGTGTTCTGATCTCCACAGCCATCTCCCCTCTAGGTCACTTTGTAAGTTCTAGTTCTTTTTTGCCCGTGAGGACACAGGGCAGGTAGTTGGCCTTTGGCCTTTGGCATTGGGCTGGGAATGAGATTAAGCATCATTTTTTTCCCTCTGCCCTGAGATAGAACCCAGCATATCTCAGTTAACCTTAGGTTGACCACGACTGTGATTTCTCTTAGCGACCTCAGCCTTTCTCATACCTATTCGGAATGTCTGCTAAATCCAGAAGCTGGATAAAAAGCGAATGTTTCCTGAGTTTAACCCTGTCCTAGGGCCAGAGTACCTTTGAGTCTCTTAGAGTTTGCTTGTGGTGGTTTAAGGGTTCAGGCTCTAAGTCAGAAAGACCTGGGCTGAAAACTCAGCTTAGGTACCTACTAGCTGTGTGACCTCATGCAAGTTACTTAACCTCTCTGAGTTGCCTCATTTTTAAAATGGGGGCTGATAATAAGAACTACCTCATGTGATGGGTAGAGAAGTTAACTGAGATGAAGAAAATAGCAGGACGTGAACATTCAACCAATTTTAATTTAAAAACTTCATGGCAACCATTGTATTTTTTATATATTTATTTATTTATTTTGAGAGAGAGAGAGAGAGAGAGAGCGAGGGAAGGGCAGAGAGAGAGAAGAGGGAGAGAGAGAATCCGAAGGAGGCTCTGGGCTGTCAGCTCAGATCCCTCTCGGGCTTGAACTCACGATCCATGAGATCTTGACCTGAGCCAAATCAAGAGTCGGATGCTTAACTGACTGAGCCACCCAGGTGCCCCAGTGACAACTGTTTTAAAACACTCTAACCCATTCTAGGACCTGAAGCACATGTATTCTTAAGGATTAAAACCAAACCTTCCCTCTTAATGCTGAGGAGCATTTGATGCCTGGATCATCCCTGCCCTCTAACAAAGGGAAAGTCGCTAACCTTTGGGGTCCAGTTTCAAAATTTTTTAAAGATGATTATGAAAGGAAAAGAGAATATCAAGAGTTTTACGTAGGGGATAAAGAGGTTGCAGGTTGAGAACATGATGGAAGATAGCGGTGTTGGGAGTGAAGAGCAAGCAAGGAGGTTTCTAGGTGGGGCCCAACGTCCTGGGACTGCCTCTCAGGGAAGGTGTCCAGTCCATCTGGAAGGGCGGAACTGAGAGGCGAGGTCTCTCAGGTCACGAGCCACAGTCTTGCTTGGCTAAGAACCTTCCATCCGGAGCCTATAACATCTCCCCCCCAAGTCTGTGTACTAGGGGTTGGGTTTACAACTCACGGCCCAGCTGAGACGACGCTTGAAATTACTCACAACACATAGAATTGCAATGCATCTGCTGTATTAAAATTTCATGGGGAAAGCAATTAGGAAAACCTAGAGGCTTAGATAATGTCTTAAAAATTAGATAACGTCTTACCAGGTAATGAACAGAAAGACATGCTGAGCTAGAGTGTGCTTTTAATGATCGTGCAAGTTAGGACAGCTACTCAGGTAGAGACAGGTGGGCAAGTGACCTAACCATGGCGACAACAACCAGGTCACGTCTATTGTGGGCTTGCAATGTGCAGACACTGTGGCTGGGGCAGGGCACATTACTAACCACCATCCCGGCTCTACCTCGCTCTGTTCAGCTCTTTCCTCTCCCTTATTCGGGGCTGGGGGCTTCTTCTAATGCCATGATTCTCCTTTGAGTTCAAGGTGTCCTGGGGCACAATGAGGTGGTGTCCACTAAGATCATAAGGTAG